CTGTCAGGTGTTGGTCCGGTCAGTCTCTAACAGTCTGTCAGGTGTTGATCCGGTCAGTCTCTAACGATCTGTCAGGTGTTGGTCCAATCAGTCTCTAACAGTCTGTTGGGTGTTGATCCGGTCCATCTCTAACAGTCTGTCAGGTGTTGATCCGGTCAGTCTCTAACAGTCTGTCAGGTGCTGGTCCGGTCAGTCTCTAACAGTCTGTCAGGTGTTGGTCCGGTCAGTCTCTAACAGTCTGTCAGGTGTTGATCCGGTCATTCTCTAACAGTCTGTCAGGTGTTGATCCGGTCAGTGTGTGAGAATGAAGCGGCAGTAGAAGATGATGGTGCTCACCGGTCCTGAGGTAGAACCAGAGAATCTCTGACATGAGGGATCGGCAGGTAGGGCTGCAGCTCCTGGTTTTCTTGGCAGGCCTCTCCATGGGTCCTCAACACATCTGAAGAAAAGCCGTTTCAGCTACAGTCTTCAGAGGTTCTTCTGTTTGGAACGTTCCTTACCTATGATGCTCTCCACCATGTCGTACATCTGTCTCGTCTCCTCCTCCTCCCTCCTCCAGCGGTACTTCATGTAGCACACCGCACTCCACACTAAGCCTACAACTACACACAGACACACAACGGTGACAACACAGCTTCAAAAAGAAAATAATTCTACTCAGAAATGCCAGAAATTTCACACTGGTGCTCTACACGACCTAAGGATGAAACGGATTCAGATACATAAAAATATTTACTAAACAACAAAACCATGGAGGAGCCTGATGCACGTTGGCTTCAAACTATGGACTGGATTTTCTGAACGGCGGCGTGTCTCATGAACCCAGAGTAATAAGACCTGCCCCACATTCAGGAAATCCAGTTCATAGTTTGCAGCAGCTACAAGGTGAGGACTGAGTTAGCAGCACTGTGGCTAACAGCTAACAAACTTTCATCTAAACATGTCGCTGTGTGGAAGTATTTTACATTGAACACCACAAAACAAGACAGCATCGTGCACTGTCTGCAGAGCCACAGCGCCACATTAAAACACGGTAAAGTTAGTTTTACGATGGACATTTGAGCTCCGGGGCTTCAGCGGGGCGCTGCTCTTTGCTCAACAGGAAAGAGGCGACTCGACCCCGGCCAGCAGCGTCCACTCTGTCCCTCAGTCTGCCCGTCTCTGAGGAGGGACAGACTGAGAGCAGCTGACCCAGATCAGACTGCCTGCTTCGGACTGAACAAGAAGAAGACGTCGCTGAAACCACGGAGCTCAAATGTTTACAGAGAAGTTGATAAACTTCATCATTAATGACCAACCACTATCACTTGTAGATAATGAAGGATTTCACAGTTTGATACTTGCAGTCAAGATATAGTTTACCCTCCAGAGATATTTATCAGTACAACAGTAGACAATCATATATATATATAAAACGAAACATAAACAGTTACATTATAAAGTGATGTAAAATACTAAAAACAGGAACATGTCTGTTGGTTTATGCCATGAACTTAGCAGATGTTTGAAGCCATTTAACATTTTATTTTATTAATGTATTCATTCATTTAAAAGAAACAATATAAAAAAAAATCAAAAAGAAAACATTGAATGAAAAGAGTTCAGAAAGAAGAAAAAAATTCTTATATCTGCCCCTTGTTTAAAAAAAATATAAAATAACTTTAAACAATCACTTAAACTAATCACTTTAATATCCACTTTAAAGCTAGAAAAAAAAAAAAGTTCTATTTCATCCCTCTTGACCGCCAGAGGGCGGTGCTGAAAGCACTGAATGTTCCCTTCACGCATGCGCTGTTCGAGTAATAATACCAATGGAGTCACAGGTGTGACACGGATGACCAATCAGAGGCTATATAGCCCGACGTCATCCGCAGCTCTGCTCCTTTTTTCTTCTTACGCGTGGTTCAATTCAGGGCTTCAGCCCTTTGGACCTTTTCTGAACTTTTTACCGTCGTCAGAAGCCCGACTGCCCGTCTGCGGGAGTAGCGTGTTCGCCCTCCTAGGGCTGCGACGGTTTAACCCTGTTCAAAGGTATTTTTTGCTGATTTGTTGGTGACTACGGCGGTTTCCGCCTATCCCAACTTACAGCGTCTGACTACTATGTGTGTGATTCAACACTGGTGAGTAGTGTTTTTCCTTATATTTCGCCGTTGGTTAGCGGTAGCGTTCGCTCCGCTCCCGCTTGTTGGGAGACCTCCATCCACGTGGTCGGCTGGACTGTGCTCCGACGTTGTTTATGACTACTATGTGTGTGATTTAACACTGGTGAGTAGTGGTTCTTTGCTTATATTTTGCTATTGGTTAGCAGTAGCGTTCGCTTCGCTCCCGTTTACTGGAGGCCTCCAACCGCATGGTCGGTTGGAATGTGCTCCAAAGTTTGCTTATTACGTAGCCAGCTTAGTTCCTGGCCTTGTTTTGATTGGTGAAGGCAAGCGTTCGCGCCTCCTCTCCCAACTGTCCTCTTTACCAGCTGAGCAAGCGATGTTAACCTTTCTGAGTTTCTTGCCGTAAATTTTTTGTCCTATATCTCGGATATAGCTGGGTAAGGAGCATGGACAGCTCTCACTGCTGTACAGTCTGTGGAGCCATGCTCCAGACAGATGACGGTTACGACCTGTGTCCTGCCTGCCTTGGACATGACCATCTGGTGGAAGCCCTATCAGAAAACCCCTGAATGAATTGCAGCTTCATGTCGCGTGCTGTGAGGGTGGCACGGCTGGCCCAGTTTCGCCCCAAACTCGGCGATGACCTCCCGCCTTCTGGACAGGAGGCTCCACCTAGGCGCTCGAAGCGCCGGACTGAGGCCGCAGGCTCTGTGGCCCCTCCTGGAAAGAAGCGAGCCAGGTCTGATAGGGGCCTCTCCACAACGGTGGAGCAGCTCTCTGCTGAATTAGCGGAGATGAAGTCCCTTTTTCAGGTACGCCAACTGGGAACTTAACCAGTGGCAGCGACCGGACTCTCCTCCCCACCCATGCCTGAACTGGCTGCGGAGGAAGATGTGCTATCCTTGGCTGCCTCTCACTTTTTAGGTGAGGAGGAGGGGCATTCATCTCAAGTCTCAGAGACAGCTTCAATTTCTTCTTCTCGGAGCGCAGTTAGTGGGTCAGGTGATGGCTCGATGCAGGACATCATGCGTATGGCCTTGAGACAACTGCAGCTGGAAGTCCCGCAACCAGAGGCGTCCACCCCTGGAAGTGTCTTCTTCAGGCGTGAACTGACCCCTCCTTCCTTTTCTGTCCCTCCATCAGAGGAGTTCCTGAGGGAGTTGCATGGTTGCTGGCGGGACCCCAAAGCCTTTGCGTGCCTCTCTGCAGATGGCAGAGTGTTGGCGGCCATGCATGAGACGGCTGCAGCAGGCTTGGATCGCATGCCAGCGACAGAACCTGCTGTTGCCTCTCTCATCGTGTCACCAGAGGAAGCTCTGCGCAGTCATGTTCGGTGCCCATGAACTCAGTGTCGTGTCACGGATGAATTCCTCTGCAGAGTCTATGCCGCCGGAGCGCGTGCTGGCCGCTTAGGTAATTCCTTAGCACACCTCATGCTTGCCCTCTCCGTGTACCTTCAGGGGACTAGTGGTACGACAGCAGCAATGGGTTTTAGCGATGTAGCGCTTCAGGCCTTTGCATTAATGACGAGGGAACTTGGGCATGTGATGTCCTTCTTGGTCCAGGCTCGCCAACAGGTCTGGTTGGCGCAGTCAGCATTGACTGAGCTATGCCGTAGAACCCTCCGTAATGACCCAGTGGTGCCGGGGGAGTTGTTTGGTTCGGCTGCCTTGGAAGCGCTGGAACGGACTGTCCAGGCATGACAGAGAAGGCAGCATTTTTCAAGCCTTAGCAGGGCAATGCCCCCTCCACCTCCTCGGCATCCAAGGCGCCCGTCGGCTGACTCCAGCATGCAGCCGCCGCCTGGGGGTCATAACCGGCCGGGTGGTCTTTACCCTCATACGGTTCAGCAAAGGCTCAGCAGGAGCTTTCGTGGGTCGGTCCACCAACCAGCTGGGCAGGCTCGGACCAGGGACTCTGGCTGCCGCCCCCCCACGGGGCCATGGAGGGAGGCAGTGATGCCATCAGGCCGACCGTCGGATATTTCTCCCACCAGCAGCTCAGTTACTGGGCTGCTCATGCCGTGGACCCATGGGTGGTTGCCACTCTGACCCATGGTTACCGGCTACAGTTCCGACGGCGGCCTCATATCTCACGCCGGGTCAAGATAACTGTAATCGCCGACCCGGTGAAAGCTCGAGCACTAGAGCAGGAACTTTCCGCCCTCCTGGCAAAGGGCGCAATAAAGGCAGTGGACCCTCTACAACAACCCAGGGGCTATTACTTGACACTTACTTCCTCGTGCAAAAGAGGACGGGCGGGTTTCATCCCATTTTAGACCTGAGGGGACTCAACCAGTACCTAAGGGAGCTGCCCTTCCACATGCTCACGACAGCAGAAATCCTTCAAGCTGTCATGAGGATGGTTCACGTCTGTAGACCTGAAGGATGCGTATTTTCATGTACCTATTGTGGCAGAACATCGTCGATTTCTCAGGTTTGCCTATCGGGGTCACCACTGGCAGTTCCGGGTACTCCCATTCGGGCTCTCTCTCTCCCCGAGGGTGTTCACTCGGTGCGTGAAGGCAGCCCTCTCTCCTCTGCAGGCCTGCGGAGTGAAGATTCTGCCATACTTGGATGATTGGCTTCTCTGTGCCCCGTCTCAGGCCTGTGCCTTTCACGACACAAACCGCTTGCTCGCTCATATGTCCCAGTTGGGCCTCAATGTCAACCTGGAGAAGAGCTGCCTGATCCGTTCCCAGACGACCACCTTTCTTGGGGTGGTTCTGGATTCATCTTCCATGAGAGCTCGCCCATCTGCTCAAAGAGTGGCCGGCATACTCCATCTGGTCAGTCGGTTCAGGCTGGGCAGGCAGCTCCCCTATGTTGCCTTCTTGCAACTACTCGGCAAGCTGACATCAGTCACTCGGGTGGTGCCCTTAGGCCTGCTGTCATTTTGCCCCTTGCAGAGGTGGCTTAACAGCTTTCGCCTGGATGCCTGGATGCCAGGCTGCACAGGCGTAGCAAGCTCGCAGTGACGTGGTCATGTCTTCATGCCTTGACTCCATGCAGGGACGAAGATTATTTGTCCAGGGGTGTCCCCATGAGAGTGGTAGTGTGTCGCAGGGAAGTGGTCACGACAGATGCCAGCTCCATGGGATGGGGGCTGTGTGGCAACGCAGAGCGGTTCAGGGCCGCTGGGGTCAAAGGGACCACTCCAAGCATATAAATGTGCTGGATCTGCGTGCAGTGCACTTGGCACTCAGGCATTTCTTGCCTCACCTGGAAGGGAGGCATGTTCTTGTTCGGTCAGACAACACCTCTGCAGTCTACCACATCAACCATCAGGGGGGCACCAGGTCAGCACAACTTCTGAGAGTGTCCAGAGAGCTCCTGGAATGGGCCTCTCCTCGCCTGTCCACCCTGCGGGCAGCGTACTTACCAGGGCGACACAATCAGGTCGCAGATTTTCTCTCCCGCCAAGGGTCCCCTCCGGGAGAGTAGTCCCTCCACAGTGACATAGTGCTGATGATCTGGGACCGTTTTGGTCAGGCAGAGATAGACCAGTTTGCGACTCGGTGTCCCCTATGGTATTCTCTTACGGGGGCGTCGGGTGCGCTGGGCCAGGACGCATTGGCTCATCCTTGGCCAAGGGTCCTTCTATATGCATTTCCATCCCTTTCTCTAATTTGGCCAACCCTTCAGAGAGTCCTTGAGGAGGGCCACAGGATGCTGCTGGTGGCTCCGTATTGGCCAGCGCGACCATGGTTCCCACTGCTACAAAGTCTATGTCAGGGCGTCCCATGGTGTCTTCCGACCAGGAGGGACTTGCTGTCTCAGTTGGGGGGACTGATATGGCACCCCAATCCTCAACGTCTTCGGCTGTGGGTGTGGCCACTGCAAGGCTAGGACAGCAGCTGACTGGAGTTTCGAGCCCCGTCAGACGCACCATCCTGGGCGCCAGGGCACCCTCTACTCGTCAGCAGTACGAAAACAGGTGGTGTCTGTTTTCCCAATGGTGTTCTGATCACAACAAGGATCCAGTCTCTTGTACAGTACCCACCATTCTGGAGTTTCTCCAGTCTCTACTTGGTAAGGGTCGCTGTCCTTCGACGCTTAAAGTTTATGTAGCGGCAATATCATCTAATCACACTGGCATTGATGGCTGTACGGTAGGGAGCCATCATTTAGTCTCTCTTTTTCTGCATGGTGCCCATAGGTCACACCCGCCGACAGCTCCACAAGCACCAGGTTGGGACCTGCCCTTGGTTCTCGAAGCTCTGTGCCGCCCTTCTTTCGAACCTCTGACGCAGGCGGACCTCAAGTGGCTTTCATGCAAGACGGATTTTTGGTTGGCTATTGCCTCAGCAAAGAGGGTCAGCGAGCTATATGCTCTCTCAGTCAGCCCCTCATGTCTCAGGTGGGGCCCTGAGGGCTCTTGTGTTACCTTGTGGCCAAACACTGCATTTGTACCAAAGGTGTTATCTCACTCTCACTGTAACCAACCTTTGAGGCTGGCATGTTTTCAGCCTACGCCTGGTGAGGGGTCTGGATTATTGTGCCCGGTGAGGGCACTGGAGGCATACGTTGCAGCTACTGCCGTGATAAGACATTCAGACCAGTTGTTTGTGTGTTATGGAGGCCCTAGGTTAGACTGTCCTCTTTCCAAACAGCGCCACTCCCACTGGATCGTGGACGTCATCTGCCACGCCTATGCTGCAGGGCCCGTCTCCCTGCCGGTCGGCTTGAAGGCTCACTCTACCAGGAGCTTCTCCGCTTCCTGGGTTGCCCAGAGAGGGGTTCCGCTGGAAGCAATATGTACTGCTGCATCATGGGCTTCCCCAAGCACGTTCACCAGATTTTATAGAGTTAACGTGGCCACCCCTCATCCCCTGGGCCAGGCTCTTCTACAAGGGTCCTCTGGGCTTTCTCAGTAAGGTGGGTGTTTAGGATTCCTTGTGAAATCGTTGGTATTAGTCATTCAGTGCTTTCAGCACCGCCCTCTGGCGGTCAGGAGGGATGAAATAGAACGAAAGTTACATATGTAACTACGGTTCTATGAATCCCTGATGACCGCCAGAGCTTCTCTGTCACTCAGAATCCTTGCATTCGGCAAGAAGATTCTGTAGGAGCAGACCTGCGGATGACGTCGGGCTATATAGCCTCTGATTGGTCATCCGTGTCACACCTTTGACTCCGTTGGTATTATTACTCGAACAGCGCATGCGCGAAGGGAACATTCAGTGCTTTCAGCACCGCCCTCTGGTGGTCATCCGGGATTCATAGAACCGTAGTTACATACGTAACTTTCGTTTTGTGTTAGCAGGATTTAATTCCAACTTTAAAACTTATCCAGCATTAATAAAACTTACCTCAAGTTGCCTTTTTGGACATGCATGCATATATTTGTACAAATTGTACTTGAGAGGAGATTATTACCGCCTCATATAAAATCAATGATGATCATGATATCGGAACTGGATCGTTATCGGCCGATATTCAGACTTGGGTATCGGGATCGGATCAGAAGTAAAAAAAAAAAAATGGATCGTGCATCCCTAATTGTATTGAACAGAGCATAAGTTTATTTTAACTCATCTTTAAAATAAATCAACTACAATAAATTGTCTTCAGTCCTCCAACCCGCTTGTCATTAGCTGCGTACCTCTCCAGTTAGCAAGCTAATGTTAGTGTGGGTCTGCTGTCACATGTGAAGTTAGACAGCGAACAATACAAAAAGTCCTCAGACAAGGGTTGCTTTCTTGATTTTACTGAAGATATTTTATTTATGAATTTGTAAAAAGACGGAAGTCTCCAAGGCACAAGTGTGTAGAGTCCATGTATATGAGCCGTTTTCTCCCTTAATTTCTGTAGCTCTTGTTTTCCAGGAGAGGTCAAAGATTGTCCTGTGGTGAGAGCACTCACTACCTCACGTGCTGCATGCACAATATGACGACGATCAGATGTCTCACTCTGATTGGAGTTAATACCCAAAATATTTTAACAGTTTTTAGAATGAATTTACTTAAACTAATTATTAACAATTAACTTTTTATCACATAATTTATGTAACTTACTCACGTGATGAACTTATTACTGTCTTTGAACAAAAGAGAGCACAGAGGGACTAATTAAATCAGATTAGTTTAGCTTCATGGTTGCTAACAGCTGCGCTAAATAAACGAGCCCCGCCCCACTCATCATTTACTGACGTACTTGGGGGGTGGACAAAGCTCAAACATTTTCAACCATTACATCGGTTACAGGCGGTCGCCTACCCCTCCCATTATCAACCATACTGGTCGGGCTCCAGAACAGGTTAGACTTTTTCTTCCGCCTGCTGTTTGTGACATGGTCCACTTACCGACAGCACCAAGGAGGACTTTACTAGACACGGTGAGCAAGGCTCGGCGAAACCGGCACATGAATGGCATCATGGGATGTGTGGACTCTAACCAAACAATCTCAGATACGTCTGTCACAGGAGAGTCAGCTGCTTCTCCAGCCAGCCTGCAAGAACACCAACCATCAAGAACTTCAACTAAAAATCATCAACGAGCACTTGTTTCTTATATGAAGCAGCTGACCAACCTTACCTTATACCAACATCCTGGCTGGCACGAATCACCCACTCCAGAGAGCTATGGAGAAACGCTTGAAACTGTTCGTTCTGAGCCTTAACACAGAAAACATGATAAATTCACTGTCTGTTCAAACTGTTCGTTCTGAGACTTTACATAGAAAACATGTTGCATTCACTGCCTCCAGGAGCTCGTTTCATAAACAGATAAGAGTCAGATCTTTAGGTTGCACACAGAACTCACCTGCTGTCACTACAAAAACTTTTTTTCCATTGTCCTTGTGATTCTTGCTGCAAACACGTGATGTAAACTCCAACACGTGACGTAAACTCCAACACGTAACGTAAACGCCAACACGTGACGTAAACGCCAACACGTGACGTAAACG